TGTTATAATCTCTGTTCTTTTACATTTGCTGAAGAGGGCTTTACTTCCAACTATGTGGTCAATTTTGGAATAAGTGCAATATGGTGCTGAGAAGAATGTATATTCTGTTGATTTGTCTATCTGTTGATAGACATCTATTAGGTCCACTTGGTACAGAGCTGACTTCAATTCCTGGATATCCTTGTTAACTTTCTGTCTCGTTGATCTGTCTAATGTTGACAGTGGGGTGTTATAGTCTCTCATTATTATTGTGTGGGAGTCTAAATCTCTTTGGAGGTCTCTAAGGACTTGCTTTATGAATCTGGGTGATCCTGTATTAGGTGCATATATATTTAGAATAGTTAGCTCTTCTTGTTGAATTGATCCCTTTACCATTATGTAATGGCCTTCTATGTCTCTTTTGATCTTTGTTGGTTTAAAGTCTGTTTTATCAGAGACTAGGATTGCAACCCCTGCTTTTTGTTTTCCATTTGCTTGGTAGATCTTCCTCCATCCCTTTATTTTGAGCCTATGTGTGTCTCGGCACATGAGATGGGTCTCCTGAATACAGCACACTGATGGATCTTGACTCTATCCAATTTGCCAGTCTGAGTCTTTTAATTGGAGTATTTAGCCCATTTACATTTAAGGTTAATATTGTTATGTTTGAATTTGATCCTGTCATTATGATGTTAGCTCATTATTTTGCTTGTTACTTGATGCAGTTTCTTCCTAGAATTGATGGTCTTTACAATTTGACATGTTTTTGCAGTGGCTGGTATGGTGTTCCTTTCCATGTTTACTGCTCCTTCAGGGAGGCTCTTGTAAGGCAGGCCTTGGTGTGACAAAATTTTCAGCATTTGTTTGTCTGTATTTTATTTCTTCTTCTCTTATGAAGCTTAGTTTGGCTGGATATGAAATTCTGAGTTGAAAATTATTTTAAGAATGTTGAATATTGGCCCCCACTCTCTTCTGGTTTGTAGAGTTTCTGCCTAGAGATTTGCTGTTAGTCTGATGGGCTTCCCTTTGTGGGTAACCCGGCCTTTCTCTCTGGCTCCTCTTAACATTTTTTTCTTCTTTTCAACTTGGGTGAATCTGACAATTATGCGTCTTAGAGTTGCTCTTCTCAAAGAGTATCTTTGTGGTGTCTTCTGTATTTCCTGAACTTGAATGTTGGCCTGCCTTGCTAGGTTAGGGAAGTTCTCCTGGATAATATTCTGAAGAGTGCTTTCCAACTTAGTTCCATTCTCCCCATCACTTTCAGGTACACCAATCAGACGTAGATTTGGTCTTTTCACATAGTCCCCTATTTCTTGGAGGATTTGTTCATTTCTTTTTACTCTTTTTCCACTAAACTTCTCTTCTCACTTGATTTCATTCATTTGATCTTCAATCACTGATACCCTTTCTTCCACTTGATCAAATCGGCTACTGAAGCTTGTGCATGCATCACGTAGTTCTCGTGCATGGTTTTCAGCTCCATCAGGTCATTTAAGGTCTTCTCTACACCATTTATTCTAGTTAGCCATTTGTCTAATCTTTTTTTCAAGGTTTTTAGCTTCTTTGTGATGGGTTCGAACATCTTCCTTTAGCTAGGAAAAGTTTGTTATTACTAATCATCTGAAGCCTTCTTCTCTCAACTCGTCAAAGTCATTCTCCATCCAGCTTTCTTCCATTGCTGGCAAGGAGCTGCATTCCTTTGGAGGAGAAGAGGCACTCTGATTTTTAGAATTTTCAGCTTTTCTGCCCTGGTTTCTCCCCATCTTTGTGGTTTTATCTACTTTTGGTCTTTGATGATGGTGTTTTGGTGTGGATGTCCTTTCTGTTTGTTAGTTTTCCTTCTAACAGTCAGGACCCTCAGCTGCAGGTCTGTTTGAGTTTGCTGGAGGTCCACTCCAGACCATGTTTGCATGGGTATCACCAGCAGAGGCTGCAGAACAGCAAATACTGCAGAATAGCAAATGTTGCTGCCTGATCCTTCCTCTGGAAGCTTTGTCTCAGAGGGGCACCCAGTTGTATGAGGTGTCTCCCAGTTAGGCTACTCGGGGGTCAGGGACCCACTTAAGGAGACAGTCTGTCTGTTCTCAAATCTCAAACTCCATGCTAGGAGAACCACTACCCTCTTCAAAGCTCTCAGACAGGGACATTTAAGTCTGCAGAAGTTTCTGCTGCCTTTTGTTCAGCTATGCCCTGCCCCCAGAGTTGGAGTCTACAGAGGCAGGCAGGCCTCCTTGAGCTGTGGTGGGCTCCACCCAGTTCAAGCCTCCCAGCTGCTTTGTTTACCTACTCAAGCCTCAGCAATGGTGGATGCCCCTCCCTCTGCCTCACTGCTGCTTTGCAGTTCGATCTCAGACTGCTGTGCTAGCAGTGAGCAATGCTCCGTGGGTGTGGGACCCTCAGAGCCAGGAGTGAGATATAATCTCCTGGGGTGCTGTTTGCTAAGACCATTGGAAAAGCACAGTATTAGGGTGGGAGTGTCCCGATTTTCCAGGTACCTTCTGTCATGGCTTCCCTTGGCTAGGAAAGGGAATTCCCTTACCCCTTGTGCTTCCTGGGTGAAGGGATGCCCACCCTGCTACATGGGTTGCACCCACTGCCCTACAAGCCCCAGTGAGATGAACCTGGTACCTCAGTTGGAAATGCAGAAGTCACCCATCTTCTGCATCACTCAGGCTGGGAGCTGCAGACTGGAGCTGTTCCTATTCGGCCATCTTGGAACCTCCCTCCTGAAATTGTTACATTTTAAAAATCAGGTATTACTATTCCTTTGGGGAAAAATGTAACTCCCAAAATGCTGAGAGCCTTCACACCATCATAAGACCAATTCCTAAGAGCTGAGTCGTGGCTGCTACCTCTACTGTTGGCTAAATACCTAGCCAATTGCATTTGTTTTATTCACTATGGCCCCTAGTATTAACTATATACAGAAAGTATATAGTTCCTATTAAACTTTGCCAGAAGCATAAATCCAAATGACATCTACTTTGGGAAATAGTCACCAAGAACAAGTCTCTGTAATGAGCTTTATTCCTTAAGCAAAAGAGATTTCATTCTGCCTTCTACAAAATCAATTGGTTTTCTCCCATAATTTTCAAAACTCATGACAGATCAGAGGTCCTGTACACTTCTGGATTTCAATTTTAACCCTGGACCAGTCTAGGTTTTCTAGACTTTAAAGAGTCACAGAACACAGAGTTTTAAAGATTCATCACAGCTACACAGGTTATATGCAGGATTTGCCACATCACATTATCATGTGAATTCTTAAAGCTTAACAATAATTGTTGCATAAGTTTATAATCCTAAGAAGTTCCTGCTGCGTGGAAATGAATGGCATAGATATGATTCTCAGGCAAAAGGATTAATAAAATCCAATCTGCAGGTACTTGAAACAACAAAAGTTTTTAAGTCATATACCAGATTCACTTCATTTACTAAGGTTATCTTGTTATTGGACTGGCAGCTGGAACAAGTATCTATAAAATATTCATTTTATCTGCATTCTGTCTGTTCCACAAAAAAAGTCTTGATGCAGTTTTTTAAATGGAGCAATTACAACCTAAAGCCTATTTTTTTAAACTTAAATTTATATACATTTTTTTGCTAGTTATTTATTCTAGTGACAAATTTAGTGTTTAGTGTTTCCCCTGCCATTTTTTTTTCACACAATCTTAAGCATCTCAAATGTTGGGGACAATTTAATACATCACAGTGCATTAAGATATCCTTGTAGTTAGAACAGAAAACCAAACACCACATGTTCTCACTCATAGGTGGGAATCGAACAATGAGATCACTTGGACTCGTGAAGGGGAACATCACACACTGGGGTCTATTATGGGGAGCGGGGAGGCGAGAGGGATGGCATTGGGAGTTATACCTGATGTAAATAATGAGTTGATGGGTGCTGACGAGTTGATGCGTGCAACACACCAATATGGCACAAGTATACATATGTAACAAACCTGCACATTGGGCACATGTACCCTAGAATTTAAAGTATAATAATAAAAAAATTTAAAAATAAAAATAAAAAATAAAATAAACCTAAAAGATATCCTTGTAGATTAATTCAGTTAAGTGCAACAAACATTTGCTAAATGAGTACAGTGGGGTAGGCACCACACTCACATTAGATATACCAATGTGAGTCTCCGTCCTTTAGAAGCTGAGACTAATGGAAAAACAGAATGTCATTGCAGTGAACAAGTTCTGCAGTAGTGGAGGCAATAGCTCTACTTGTCCCAGAGATTGAGACAGATATCAAAGGCTTCTGGAGATGAAATCACCTGGGATTAGCCTTAAAAAACAGATGAGGCCGGGTGTGGTGGCTCATGCCTGTAATCCCAGCACTTTGGGAGGCCGAGGCGGGCAGATCACAAGGTCAGGAGATTGAGAACATCCTGGCTAACACAGTGAAACCCCGTCTCTACTAAAAATACAAAAAATTAGCCTGGCGTGATGGTGGGTGCCTGTAGTCCCAGCTACTCTGGAGGCAGAGGCAGGAGAATGGCGTGAACCCCAGAGGTGGAACTTGCAGTGAGCCGAGGTCACGCCACTGTACTCCAGCCTGGGAGACAGAGCGGAACTCTGTCTCAAAAAAAACAAAAAACAAAAAACCAAAAAAAAAAACAGACAGATGAATATTACCTAGGGCAGGGTTTTAGCAGAAGGACAGCCTGAGCGAGTACAGGCATGGAAGACAGAATATGTTTACTTAAAGAATTGTATGCATTTCCACATTAGCAGGATTGCTGCTTTGATTCTCTGTTCATGTTTCAAATATGTGTAATGACAGTGGAAAGTCTGAAGAACCAAACTTTAGGCTCACTTTATTTCCCCACATTTGTGCAAGTGAAGTTATTAAATGTCTTAGTATGTTAGTGAAACAGGTTATGAAATCTGCCTACACCTCACAGCAAACATAGGAAAACACATTATTAAAGATTATTTAAAATGCTTTAGTCCTACTTTTATAGCATACGGCTCTAAATTAGTTTATAAGCCAAAGGCATAAGAGGTTAAAATGACAGTGCCATCTCAACAAGAACTAATGATGTTAAGGAGTAATTAAAGTATAAATTGTTTTAACCTTCTAAAAGTGCACGTGATCTGTGATTGGCGAAAAATGAGAATAAGCGAATCTGGGTCAGCTGCCGACTGTGGCATCCACATGTGACCCACCAGCCTATTTCTCACAGGAGGATGTTTGAGATGCACAGTTCCCATGGTGCCCAAATAGAAGAAGACTGGAAAAGCTCTGCTTCTGTAAGAGCAAGGGCTCCCCTCTCCCTTTCATGCACTTTCTAGGAACAACATAAATTCAACTTTCCAACCAGGAAAAGTGGAGCATCGGGTTTACTGGAGAAAACTAGCCCAGTGCCCTTCTTTCATACCCTAGAACCAGAGAGTAACTTGACGATAAACCTTTGTGCAGACTTCTCCTTGAGGCGGGGGGGGAAAGTCATTATTAAAAAAGACATGACAGACTTAGAAACATACCTTAAATTTTAACATGCATATGTGATTCAACTTATCATTTACTGGCTTCACATTACATCTTACCTCTATACAAGTTTGGCTATTAGTTTCTTATCTCTGTAGAAACTAGGAGCAGAGCAATTATATTTATTCTTTACCTAAGTCTTTTAGAATAGATATTCTAAGAAATTCTGTATTTTTCTTCACACGAAACTTCAATAGAGCTAATATTAAGGAAAGTCCTTTCGTTTCCTACTAATTACACTCAAAGACAACTCTGCAAGAATGTAGAATCCTAAAATTTATACTGTGCATTAATTTCCTATTGTGCTTAAACATAACTATGTCTCATATTTCGGTCTTGTATTTTTTTTTACTATAATCCTTCTAGAGGAAACTGATCAAGCGAATCTGTTCACCAAACCAAATGAGGAAGGAACATAAAGAAGACATAAGACTTCAGTCAAGTGAAAAATTAACATGTGGATTGGACACTCCAATAAATTATATACCTGCCTAAGTTGTACAATTTCAGAATGCAATTTTCATTTTAATGAGTTCCAATGACTCAATGATGGGGAAAAAATCTCTGCTCATTAATATTTCAAGGTAAAGAACAAATGTTTCTTTGAATGCTTGCTTTTGTGTGTTAGTATAATTTTTAGAATTGATTGAGAATTCTGTTCCAAAACTTTAGTTGAATTCATCTACATTTGTTTAATACTAACTTAATCTATTCTATTGTATTATAATGATGGTTCTGTCAAATGAAAGGGTGAAATACCTAGATGAAGTTTAGGTTTTCTTCCTATTGTAAACTTTTGAATCTGGTTTCATTGTTTTAAATAAATTAAGGGGACACTAAAGTCCTATCATTCATTTGCTTCATTGTTGAACAGGTAAGATATAATATTACATGAATGATTACTATATTTTGTTCACACTAATAAAGCTTGTGCTCAGAAATGCCATACACACACACATACACACATGCACACAAACACACACATTATCATTTAATGCATAAATCAATGCAAAAGGTTTTCCCATTAATATGAAATGTTTCATATATATAAATGCCATATTTAAAATAATTTGTCTAACAGTAGAACTTTGTCAGAGCACTCACTGAAGCTTGCATTCCACTGAAAGAGTTATTTGTGTAAGTAGAGTATCCTGAGAAGGAAAAGAACTTACGACCTTTCTTTATAACAGAAACTCAACTCTAAATTCAATAAGATGTGCAAACTGGACATGCAGGTGAATATTTTAATAGGTTACTATATGTTCTCAATTAAATTCTTTAATCTGTCCAGTCCCAGTTTCTCTTATTAATAAAACTTTGGAAATTTCTTTAAACCATTTACAGGAAATTTCTAGATATAGAGACTAAGGACTGTGACTATATAGCTGTCACTCTTAAGTTTAGTGAAACTTAAACAGCAAAAACAAAAAACAAAAAAGACCTTCCTGTGATACTTTATTTCCAAACTAATAAAAATCTATATGACTTTTTATTGTTGTGTGATAACAAAGTAAGTTTTTTGTATTTTGTATACTTTCAGGCCTGACAACTGAAATTTACCTTTTAATAAATTTAAAAATCTAAATTTTAACCTACTTGTATGCTCAGAGAGTGTTTTTGTATTAAAGTGACTACTTAAAATAAAGAACAAGACTAAGAAGGGAACATTTCTGTTGATACATGTGTTTTAAAAGTAATTTTAAGAGCATTATTAGGTTAATTTAATCCAATTAATGACCCAAATGCCAAGGTAATTTTAAATTTACATTTTTAATAAAAGCAACATGTTGAAACAAGAGAGGGTGAGATTAACCTTTTCGCTCAAGTAATTTACAAGTCAAAGACAAGAAGAGATCAGAGTGAATGTGCCATCTTAACCAGAGCTACAGAATTTAGTGAATAATTAAAGTACAAATTGCTTTAACCTCCTTGAACTTTTCCAAGCAATTTCTCTGTACTTCTATATATGAATGACTTCATTAATTTTCTGCTACTATAACAGAATACCACAGACTGGGTAATTTAGAAGAAAAGAAATTTATTTTCTTCCTAGTTCTGGAGGCTGGGAAGGCCAAGGGCATGGCATTGACATCTGCCTTGTATCTGATGAGGACCTTCTTACTGCATGATAACAAAGCAGAAAGGCAAGCAAAAGCGTAAGATGAAGAGAGAGGAAACAAAACCAAACACATCCTTTCATCAGAAGCCCATTCCCTCTATAAGGCATTATTCCATTTATGAGAATGGAGCCCTCATGACCTAATCATGACCTTAAAGGCCCCTCCCAACACTGTTACAATGGCAATTAAATCTCAACAACGTTTCCAGAGGTGACATTTGAATCATAGCAATGAATTTTTCATAGTTATATTTGGTATTCGTGAGGGAAGAAATGACCATTTCCCTTGTATTTTTATAATTAAATCAGCAAAATATTGTAGTAAAGAAATCTTTCCTGTGAAGATACCATGACCCCATGGATGGCTCATGTTGGATTTCTTGAAATTGGGGCTGGGATGGGAAAGTGTGATGATGCTGATTATGGAATTTAACTCTCCAGCCCTGGGTGTTCGCTTGTGTAGTTGTGAGCAAAAGGTCTAAATGAGGGACAAAATGAATGGAGAAGGCTGAGAGTCATTGTGAAGAAAGAATGACCTTTTCTTGCAATAGAAATTTAATTCTGAAAACAACTCTGAATGGAGAGCCCAAGAGCAGCATGGGCAAAGGGGTATTTTGGTGATATTGATATACAGTGATTGAAGAATAGCATTCTGGTTTATTCTAAACATTTATCCTATCAAATGTAGCAAGTTTCTTAGAAGAAATTCCCAAAAGCCAAATGTTATTTAAATAAAAATAAATAAAAACCGTGATGCATAGACCTGTTATTGTGTCAACCAGTTCTAATGCATTTATGCCCTCAGATGTATTTAGGGGGTATGTGCATTGCCACCTGCTAACCCACTTTCAGCATCTAGATGTAAACATGTCCTCTGAATGCTCACAGCACTTATACATATTTTGTAGCATTACTATGATCTGAATTCCATACCCTACTTAACTATGATTCATTAAGATCAAGAACTTTAATTCGTTTTTGTACCTCCTGAGAGGCTTAACAAAATTTGCTTCTATTTCATGAAGCTTTTATGAATATTTAAAATGGCATGATACACAGTGACATCTTAAAGGTTGAGTCTGGCATGGCATGGTCAGAGAATCAGGTTTGGAGCCAGGATTTGAACTCTCACTATTTATTCATATAACTTTGATTTCTTTATCTGAAATATGAATATTAGAATAACTGCCTTGTGGAAATGTCACAAGATTTATATATTTATATATATTTATACAGAAAAATGAAAAACAAGGAGAAACTATTAATGTCAATCCAAAAGGGAAAAAATGTACTACATCTCTCATGTAGTGAGAGATAATCCTCATGTTAGTCATGTGCAACTTTTGCAATTCTCTCCCATATCTTCTTAAACCTGAAAAGTGTCTGGTTTATTCACATGTTGATGTAATGCGTAGAGTGATATTCTCCACAATTGTTTCCCTCAGACTAAAGCCCCTGGATTTTTTTAAATTTTGCATAGAAACTAAATCAAGATTAACGCATAAGGAGGAAGCGCACAAATGTTTTTTGATAGAAAGAGGAATATTACAGCAAAAGATGACTCAAACATGATTATAAACACAATCTGCTTTTGTATGGGAAAATAAGCAGCTTTTCAGAATTAGTCCTAGTTTATCTTTAAAGAATGTGAAAGTGCTTATATTGAATTTGTATATAGCTGTAGAGCTTAGTATTAAGCCATAATCAATATAAGAGAAAGAAAAATAAAAGGATAAGCACAGTTACATTTTATGAGTTTACCTCCAAGGAACTATATCACTTGTCTGCAAAAGACACAACAGGTAGATTCTCAAAACAGAAAATAAATCCAGCCGGGCACAGTGGCTCATACCTGTAATCCCAGCACTCTGGTAAGCTGAGGTGGGTAGATCATCTGAGTTCCAGACCAGTCTGGCCAACATGGTGAAACCCCATCGCTACTAAAAATACAAAAATTAGCTGGGCATGGTGGCGCACACCTGTAATCCTAGCTGCTCAGGAGGCTGAGGCGGAAGAATTGTTTGAACCTGGGAGGCGGAGGTTGCCGTGAGCCAAGATCGTGCCACAAACTCCAGCCTGTGTGCCAGAGCAGGACTCTGACTCCAAAAAAAAAAAAAAAAAAAGAGAGAAAGAAAATAAATCCAATTATGGAAAAAAACACAGTCATAGTTTTGTACCCTGAGTTGTGATTATTCATTTTTAAAAATATATTTATTCTTTCCTAATATCTTATTTACTCATGAAAAGAATGAATTCTTAAGAGGTCTGATAATATTTCTTCTTAAATCTACACTTAAAATGTCAAAAGTGTGACCATAGAATGAGGGATCTTAGAATTGACAACTGGCTGAGCAGCCTGGGGTGAGAATGGTGTAAAATTCTTGGGCACTGGTATCACAGCCAGGCCAGGGAATCATGGGAAAGGGAAGGTGAGAGTGCTCATCATCTGACTGATTATGGAATTTATTATGCTTATGGTTCCAAATTTGAACACTGGAAAGTGATGTAGACCACCTGGGATCATTTGGAAGACGGAAAGCAGACTAGGCTGGATGCATCAACATACCCTATCTGAACATACAGTCAGCACATGAAGGACAGCTGGAGGAGAGAGGGAGAGGAATGGAAGAAGAATGAGAAAGTGAGCTAGGTCCTGAAGAGCTGCGCATCCAGCTGTGCCTAAGCAGACACAACCTCTTCTCAGTTATAGGAGCCAATAAGTCCCCTCTTTGCTTAAGCTGATTTTTTAAAATTAGGCTTTTTGTCATTTATAACAGAAAGTCTTAACTAAAGTAACAGAAACTTAAATTAGATGATTGGGCTGACACCTTATATCCAATAAAGACTGCATTCCAGGTATAAGACTTAATACAGAATTTACAAAGGTAATGTCTAAAGATTGCACAATTCTAAAACTCTCACCAACAGCAAAGGTATAAAAGTGTAAGGAGGCCGGACGTGGTGGCTCAAGCCTGTAATCCCAGCACTTTGGGAGGCCGAGACGGGCGGATCACGAGGTCAGGAGATCGAGACCATCTTGGCTACTATGGTGAAACTCCATCTCTACTAAAAAATACAAAAAACTAGCCGGACGAGGTGGCGGGCGCCTGTAGTCCCAGCTACTCGGGAGGCTGAGACAGGAGAATGGCGTAAACCTGGGAGGCAGAGCTTGCAGTGAGCTGAGATCCGGCCACTGCACTCCAGCCTGGGCGACAGAGCGAGACTCCGTCTCAAAAAAAAAAAAAAAAAATGTAAGGAGTTGGTGACTGAAAGGGAGTGTAGAGAAGAGAGCTGTTTGTGTGTCTTCAATATCTCTCCTAAGGAGGAGAGGTGAGGGGTTCTCCTCTCTTCACTTTGTCAAGAGCTCTAGAGGGTCTTGGGAGAACTTGAATGTGTCCTTGGAATGTCATAGAATTATGACTCTCACTTGAGAAATCTAAAGGGCAAACAAATGGCCCCAGTGCTGCCTTGAAAGTATATTGAGGAGAGATTGGAAAACTAGGGATGACAAGCATTCCTATAGTTTTAAGAGGCAGTGAAAAATGAGTTTCTTGTGGGCTGTATACACACCAACTGGAAAAAGAAAAATGTTCCTGTGGGTTATCTTTGGTCATGTTGGAAATGACTTCCTAGAGAGGCCAATAGCTTTTAAGAGAAAGAAAGTGGAAGTGTTGCCAGACATCTGATACTTTGTTTGCCCATGAGGGACGGAAGAAGGATGCAGGCAAACAACTAAAACAGACATGGATTTATACAAGCCAAGAGAATAGTAGATGAAAAGTCCCAAGTGATGGGAAAATTCTGAAGAACCCACAAGAGCACATACAAGAGAAAGGTTCAAATGTAAATCTCTGCCAAGAGAAAATGTGGGACCACTGTGAAATACTGGTCTAGTCAGAACTTTCCTACTCCTTTACCTGGGTTTTTCCTTCCTGTTTTCCAATGCTAGAGGGTTTGGAAACTGAGTAGCAAGATGGAAGAAAAGCAATAAATGCTGCAGTTTGGGGTTGGTGAGGAGAAGTTGACCACGTCATTCCTTTCCTGAATCCAGGGAAGAAAAGGAATATAAACATTAATTTTAAATCAGAAGGGAAATGTCGATTACTGCATCAGTATAGATATTTTGATTACAAACTGGAGAGCCATTTGCATTACCTAATGGTGACCAGAAGAGTAATAGAATGTTTGGCCAGAGGAAGAGTGCAAGGACCAATTCTACAGAAGACATTTAAAAGGACACAGGAGACATGACTCAAATCATTTCTCATTGAATTCTATGAGTCTTGTTTACTTAACACAACCATTATACAGATAGAAGTATTAATGTAGCAAAAGCATTTGTTGATGACTTAGATAAGGCATAATGGGAAAAAAGACTTATACATTATTAGTAACTGTAAATTGACTCAGAAACAATAGAGCAATGTATTCCAAAATTCACAAATTTGCCTATATATTTTTGACCCAGTATTTCCATTTTGAAGAATGTGCTCCAGTAAAATTACAAAAAAGTGTAAATTATTATTTTGTAATTAACTTTACATATTAATTGCATCAACGAATAGCAAAAAGAAAATAGCCCAAATGTTCACTAACTTAGTAATGTCTATGTGTCAGTCATAATTTACATATTAGCATATTAACAAAATAATTATGTAGCCAATTAAAAAGTACATGTACACTTTTTCTACAAGTGAAAATGGGTGTAGAATTTTTAATGAAAAAATAGAAAACATAGTATGATTATTCTGAACTAAAAAAATATGTGGTGCATACATTTTAAAGCTCAAAAAGAAAAACTTCAACACTCAGTAGTTTCTTTCTTGTTTTTCTTTTTTTTTTAATTATTATTATACTTTAAGTTCTAGGGTACATGTGCATAACGTGCAGGTTTGTTACATATGTATACTTGTGCCATGTTGCTGTGCTGCACCCATCAACTCGTCAGAACCCAACAACTCATCATTTACATCAGGTATAACTCCCAATGCAATCCCTCCCCCCTCCCCCCTCCCCATGATTCTTGTTTTTGTTCAAGAACTAGTGGTACTGATTTACAATGCAGTACTAACATTTCTGGCTCCTGTTGAATATTTTTCTAAGTTAGAGCTCTACTTCAAAACTGAAGACCAGAGACATCTTGGTACTGCCCCATGTTCATATCTCATGAAACATGTTTTTTGGGGTGTACTTAAACTGTGCCATGACTCTGCAAAAATAAGCCTTGAAAGCTGAAGGAGAAATGTTTCAAAGAGAAGGAAAGCCAGAAATATCTCTGTTTCCTAACTCAACAATAAGATAACTTAGTTTATATACCTTGGAAGGAATGTGATTCCATTTTTTAAATGTGAAG